GAGCCTCGAAAGTGGAATGGTTTTATATTCGTGATCTGTGTTCTAGACGGTTCTTAATATCCCAATATCCCTAATCAATTCATCTATCATTGTTTCATTGATCATTGCTTGCTTCTCTGCGATAGCCCCTATGACCTAGCGCTTTTCCTTATTGATTTACAACCTCGTTATACTTGCTAGTTCGGTTCACCATTACAACCTCAATCATACTTTTGTTTTAGCTTGATCCAAAATCCATAGTTTCAAAGTGTACTCAATAGCCAGTCCTTGTGTTCGATACCCATACTTCCGCGATCTGTGCACTTGCAGAGGTCTAGGAGTTTGGTAAAACCTGACTCCACATCATTAGACAACTACAATTCAAAAGTTGTCTGATCGATACGAAACCTAATTTCGTGAGATATAGTTTTAGTGAATTAAAATGGTATCCAAATAAACAACCTCATATGAACAAAAGTGTATATATGAACCAAGATAATAAAAATGGATATATCCAAATGGACAAACTACTCTGGTGACGAATATAAAATATAGAAAGTCAGGAAAATACCGATTGTGAAACATTCAAGTAGCTCCATAAGTCCATTACTAATTTAGTAATTTGTGACGAAGAAAAAATGTGTGAGCTCGACATACGTTCATTAAACATATCTTGACTAAACAGTGTATTCCGTTTATCAAAACAAATCTGATGTCTAATCTCAATTTAAAATCACACAATGAAAATGGGAGAACATGACCATATGGATATCTGAATTTGTAAAGCACGAAATTGGTGTTAATAAATCATTGTAATAAAGTTTCAGCAAAATCCCAATTCACAACAAATAAAAACTCTAACAAGGTTTTAGAAGGGATCCAATTCACAACAAATGATTTTGTACCTTCTTGGCCTTCCACGGAACGGCGTTTGGATTAAGGTGAGAAGTGGAGGGATTTATGGCCTTCAACGGTAATGGAATTTGGAGAAACTGATTTGCAGTAGCCTCTAGTCGTGAGTAGTGTGTGGATGGCGGGGAAATTAGGTGTTTTAATCATCAATAAACTCAGAAAAACTTGATGGAGGGGAGAATTTATTGCGGAAGTTTGATGAAGAGCATGTGAGGACTGAAGGAACCTAGATTTTCTGATATATATGGTCGGCGAATCAAAGCACTTGCAAGGTTTTCTCGCCGGAAAATTTGAGTGTATCGGCGAGATATAAGCAGTTGTCGGCGTTAAATTTGAAGAAGTAAAAAAGAGTTTTGAGATTTTACCGGAAATTTTATGTTCAAAAAGGGTATAATTGCCATTCTGTCTCATGGACGTGCACCTTAAGTTGTAAGTGCCTTTTTGTGTTAATTAAAAGTGGGAAAGTGCCTCCCAGTGTAAATAACTCTAAATTTGGCAGTAAAAATTACATGATGCTATTTTGCAATAGAAAATGCAATGCAGTTGGAGCAAATGCTATTGCAAAATAGAATAAAAAGTCAAATATGGCATGGGGTATAATATCAAAATATTAATTTTTAATAGCATATATTTATATATATATATATGCTGAATTTATATATATATATATGATTGATTGATTTGCCGTAAAAAAAAAGATTTTTTTTTTATAGTCCACCCGCAACCGCAAACAACCGCAACCGCTGCTGGAAATGATCTTTTGATTTTGAGGGATCTGGAGCGGTTTTGGGCATTTCTAAGCGGTAAAAAGCGTTTACAGTGATTGTTATCAAACGTCGACAACTGTTACCACCCGCAAAAGCTGCGTTCGCGGATGGCAGTGAGAGAACCAATCAAACCCTAAACAATGTAATTTATCTTTTATATAAAGAAAGTGTAAAACCATATATAATTGCTACAAAACCAAAATTTGTCCCTTTTTATTTTTTGACTTATGTCTTTATGTAGGATATATGTCTTTGTGCTCATGACTATGATTGGAAGTGAGCCCGTGAAGAAGGAAAGAGGTTGATAGAGAAAATACGGACTGGCAAACAGAACGTGATTAGTTTAGTTTTTGACAAATAAAAATAAAAAATAAAAATAAAGAGAATCTCTTAAATGAGAAACTTTGAAACACTTTCCATATGTGGTGAATTTTGCCTCACCGAAAATACAATCATATCCTCTGTTTACATTCACTCAAATTTTTTAATATTTCAGTATTTCTATAAATCTGATTTATTGTTATTCCTCTCTCCACAACTCATCATCTCCTTCTCTAAAAATCTCTACACCCACCACCGGAGAGATCAGCGACCTTCACTCTTTTTGGACGACGTGTGCTCCTTCAATCCGTAGCAGATTTTCGCTTATTCATTCCAATTTTCCCCTAAATCAACTTCGATATGAGAAGTACGAAACTTTGTTCACTCCTTCATTATCCATCAGATCTACATCCATAGTATTTTGGTTGATTTAGAGTATGTGACACTTTAGTTTCTTCCAAATTGTTTTTTCCCATATATTATTTTCTCCTTCTCTTCGAACCTTTGGTCTTTAATTTTTACGAATTTAAAGAACTCATGCTTTAATCTTCTCATTTTATTAGAAAATTTAGACTCATGTTCTCACACTTACACCCACGCACGGCCCTAAGGGTGTGAGAGTAATCCAAAAGCACAAGGTCTTCAAAATTTTCCATAACTTTCATTAAGATTTAGGTCTCAAATTTTCAAAAAATAAATCAAAGTATAACAAATAAACAAAGGCGGCTGGAAAAAATAAGCAGAAAATTAGGTTTAGTAGTACAAAGAAAGAAGAAGATGAAACACACGTGAAAGACACATGACTTTTAAAAAGAAAACAATTATGGGCTTTTAAGGCTATTTTTTTACACTAGAAAACAATATTTATCTAAAAGCCTATCATCGGCCCATGGAACATTTAGGCCACACCTACTTACACCATTAGGTGGTTACTATGTGTAAAGAGTTCGAATAAACCCGGTTTAAGAGGGCCACTCTAAATCATTTACCAATGTAAATCATTTAACGAAAACTTGGTGGGTAGTTTTTTATATAGGGTCACTCTAAATCGCTTATGGTGGGTACAAAAAGCTAATTTATAAAATGTAGTTGATATGTGTGACACATGTCTGATGCACAGGAAAGACGTTGCTCATTTATTTATAAAAGTGAGTGTACAATCCCTTGGATAGTCAATCTACGATTAAATATCGACATTCGATAAAGTAGGGTATAGGTTGTTGTTGTGAGTGACTGAGGGAGTCCCCGAAGCAAAACCATGGCTAGTGTTTGCCATGAATGTGTTATTGAATGGTGGGAAAGTGGACTTAAACGGACCAAAAGAGAGTTCAACACGCTTCAAAGCATCTAGTGGGTTCTCACACAAGAGAGAGTTAGACTTATCTTGGTAAGAGTTATAAGGTTTCATCATGCCTTGTCCACGGAAAGAGCTTGACTCCCTGAAAAACACAACATATTTAGAAATACAATCAATTTTTTAAGAGAAAAATGTGAATTGAAAGTCGATGTGTTGTTTTAATTCATCAATTTTTTTGTGCTATTTATTGAGAGGGTTGATTAATTAAAAGAACACATCAACTTTCACAATTTTCTTTTAAAAAATTGGTTGTATTTCTAACTATGTTGTGTTTCCCCTTTTTGTATTCTAAGATGATATTTTAGTTGCAAAATAAATCCTATTTAATAGATATATATATATAAGGGTGAATTTGCTTAATAATCATATTGGGATACATAATTAAGCATATAGCCATAAAGAAAAAAAATAGTTCTAGTATAAAGTAAAACATGAAGTTACAGCATTAACCTTAAAGCTCTTAAGCATGAACAAGAACTATACTATACAAATGAAGAATAATAGAGATTAAATTGTACTATAAATTATAAATCTAACATTTCAAACTCTAAACCCTAAATACTAAATCTAAAATCACAAAATATAAACCCTAAACCTAAATCTAAACCCTAAACTCAAAAAATTAAACCCAAAACCCAAAAATAAAAGTCATAAATATTAAACCTAAAATATAAATAAAATATATAAACACTAAACTCTCAAATTATAAACCTTAAACTCAAAAAACTAACCCCAAAATACAAATCTAAACTCTAAACCCTAAACTTTAAACCCAAAACTCAAAATCTGAATATAAACAAAAAAACTAAACTCTAAATCTAAAAATATAAATATTATAGAGAGTGGCAAAAATATGTAGTTGGTACAATTCTATGGAAACAAGAAAAATGGTATGGAGTGATCAATTTCAGGGTTGATATGGGCAATATTTCAGAAATTATGGCTTGTATTCTAACCATGTTTTTGATATGGTTACTTTGTTAATTATGTATCCCAATATGATTATTAACTATAATTCCCCTATATACAATTTGATATTTATATATTCATTCAAGTTTTGGATTAGATATTATTCTAACAGAAACAAGTATGATGAAAAAATATTCACCAAAGAATAATAATATCATTAGGTGTAACATCTGCAAAAATTCTTCCCAAACGTTAAGACCCTCGGCGATCACCAATCATCCCATACACATGAAAAAGAGTTGGCGAGGCAGCTGAAGAATATGGAGGCAAGCTCTTTCCCTGGACAAGGCTCTAAGATGAAGCCTTCTAACTCTTACCAAAATAATTTTAACTCTTTCTTTGGTGAGAACCCACTAGATGCTTTGCAGCATACTAGACTCTATTTTGGTCCGTTTAAGTCCACTTTCTCACTGTTCAATAATACGAACACTAGCTATGGTTTTGCTTCAGGGCATCCTTTATTCACTCACAACAACAACCTATACTCTATTTGAAACAATCAAGTATTTTTTTAATATAATTAAATAAATCCTAAACAATTCTAGCAGAAGTTTTTAAAATGAATTAAATAAATAAATAATCAAATAACAATAATCATTCAGCGGAAGCAAATAATCTTATATATAATAAGAGGCCAACTCTCTTCAGCTGATCGACACATCAGCACCGGGAAGAGTTGGCCACGTGTCAGCTTCTCAAATTTTCTCTTTTGTTTTTCTTTTCTTTTCTTTCCCTTTCCATTTCTCATTATGATCTAAATGGTATCCTTCGGGAATCGCCACCGCTTCTCCGCTCACGGGATCTGACCGGAATACTTTCTTCAGCAAAAAAAAACTCCGTATTCCGTACATCTGTCCGAGTTCCAACACGGCGCAACGTCCACTCCTCAAATCATCCGCCCTTCTGGTGCTTGACAAACAATTCACTTTGATTCCTCGCCCCTTCGGCTCCTCATCATTTTCCAGAATACCCATGCTCCCGGGTTCCCGGGACTCTCTCTCTCTCCGTCCTTTGTCACCGTTTTCTTCCGCCTCCCGCGTCTTCTCGCAACCTCCGTCCAATCTCCTCAGGGTTAGCCGATTATGCATCAAGCATGCGTTTTCTCCTCTTCTATCTCTCTCTCCACCGATGGAAACAACAAATCGGGAAGATGGCAATTCGTTTTCGCCGATTCGTCTCCGTCCGATCTCTGATCAGAAAAGATGGTAATTGTCTCTCTCTCTCTACCATTTCACTAGGTTTCATGGAGAAAAAAATAGAATCGGAGAAGAGGAGAATTTTGTTTACTTCTTATGATATTAAGTGACGAGACAAGATCTAAAGGAACGGAAAAGAACGGACTAGAACAAGACGGAAGCCTACCTCTACTTATATTTAGGGGTGGAACGGAAAAAACGAAAAAAAAAAACATGATGAAAGAGGACAAGACAGAAATGTTGGACGGGACAAAATGAAAAGAAATGGAATGTGACGGAATTTTGCCTACCCCTAATTATATTTAGAGGCGAGACAGAGATAAAACAAAATGAAAATGAACATAATAAGATATGATGGGACTGGATGGGGCGGACATAACGAACATGATGGGAAAGAACATGACAAGATGAAAATGAACGGAATGAGATAGAATTATGTCTACCCCTAATTATATTTAGGGAACGAGACAATAATAAGCAAAATGAAAGAATCATAATGGGATAGGATAGGACTGAACGGAACGGGACATACAAGACGAGGGGACGGGAAAAACATACATGATGAAAATGAACGAGATAAAACAAGATGGTATAAAAAATTTGCCTAACTCTAATTATATTTAAGTAATATGTATATAATATCTTTGAAACAATATTAAATTTGCGGAATGGAATTACCCCCTAGTATAGTTATAAACTTATAATTAGTATAAATGGAATTACCCATAGATTAAAGAGTGAGCGTGGATTTAACGTGAAGCCAAAATTACTGAAAACCGACGTTAGTCATCTTACGTTAAACATGGAGTCGTTTGTTCAAGTGATGTTAATAATTTTTGCATCTTTCAATGCAATGTTATACGGTTTTTAAACCGACTGTAAAACAAGGTTCTGAATGTTCTGAGTTTATTCACAAGCCAAGAGGCTCTATTTATACAAAAGATCAAAGACCCTAACAGCCTAGGGTTTTTACAAAGGATTGTAAAGTTTCCTAAAAGAGTTTTTACAAAGGATTGTAAAACTTCCTAAAACATAAATGTACATATTTTCGATAACGTGCATACACGTCTAACTATATGGGCCTCCTCTAACACCCCCCTCAAGTTGGAGCATATGGATTATAGATGCCCAACTTGGAAATGATATTCTCAAAGTCACGACGTCCCAATGCCTTAGTAAACACATCAGCAAGTTGATCGTGAGTATCCACTTTCTTAGTAACAATCGTGCCATCGACAATCGAGTCACGCACCGTGTGACAATCTCGTTCTACATGTTTGGTGCGCTCATGAAACACAGGATTCGCCGCAATATACAAAGCCGCTTGATTATCACAATAGAGTTCCATCGGCTGTGTTTGAGTAATACCTAAGTCAATGAGCACATCACGCAGCCATTTTAGTTCTCCAACTGCTTTCGCCATACTCCGATACTCTGATTCAGCAGAAGACTGAGAAACCACATCTTGTTTCTTAGCTTTCCATGAGACCGGCGAAGTTCCAAGAGTAATAAACAAAGCACCAAGCGATCTTCTAGTGAGCCGACACCCCGAAAAATCAGCATCACACCAGCCTCTCAACCGAAGATCACTATCAGATTTCAATAACACTCCCTGTCCCGGAGTACCTTTCAAATAACGAACAACACGCAAAGCAGTCTCCCAATGATCTATTCGTGGCTGATGCATAAATTGAGAGAGTACATGAACCACATAAGTCAGATCAGGTCGAGTGGCCAATAAGTAGATCAACCGGCCAACTAAACGTCGATAACGTTCTGGATCTTCAAGAAACGGTTTATCTGATAACGCAAGCTTGTGTTGTTGTTCAATCGGAGATGTAGCAGGTTTCGATCCAAGACAACCTGCATCACTGATAATATCCAGCGTATACTTTCTTTGACAAAGAAAGATACCATCTTTATTCCTTGCAACTTCTATGCCTAGAAAATATTTCAGTTTCCCTAAATCCTTCATATGAAAACATTCTCCCAAGTATTGTTTAAAATCTCCAATAGCTTTAGAATCATTCCCTCCAATGACCAAATCATCTACATACACAAGTATGTATATCTCAATACCTTCTTTTCGTAGATAGAACAAAGAGTAGTCCGAATATGACTGTTTAAAACCATATCCAATCAAAGCAGTGCGCAGCTTAGCAAACCAACAGCGGAGCTTGCTTCAAGCCATACAATGACTTCTTAAGTCGACAAACCATCTGTTTGTCCCCCACACGAAATCCCGGTGGTAAGCGCATATACACTTCCTCGTCTAAATCTCCATGAAGAAATGCATTATGCACATCCATTTGATGTAATTCCCATTGTTTGGCTGCAGCCACTTCAAGAAACAAACGAATTGTTGACATCTTGATGACTGGAGCAAACGTGTCTGAGTAATCTACACCCTCAACTTGTCTATTTCCAAGAGCAACCAATCTTGCTTTATATCTCTCCAACGTTCCATCAGCTCGAAACTTTATCGTATACACCCATTTACAACCAATGGCTGTTTTCCCTTTTGGAAGTTCTACCAAATCCCACGTTCCATTAAGGTCCAAAGCTTCTATCTCAGCCAGCATCGCTTCCCTCCATTTCTTGTAGACAACAGCATCCTTAAAAAATATTGGTGCGGTTTCTGCATGCAAGGCTGCAAGAAACGCTCGATGACGAGGAGAGAAGGACTTGCTATCAAGATAATGAGATATAGGATGAAAACTGTGTTCATCCATGCTTTCTTCAAATGAAATCTCAATTTCCCCATCCACACCCTCCGTTTCGCGAATGGTATTAAGCACAAAGTCATTCAGCTTGGACGGGATCTTCTTCGATCTCATACCGCGTCCCAGATTTTCAGTAGTTGGTTGTGTGTCATCACAACTATCCTTCGTCACATTCTCGTGAGTTCCTTCAAGACATTCCTCTTGTCTTTGAACATTATCAGTTGATTCTATGCGTTTAGCAGTAACATTTTCTTCATGCGTTACAGGGTCAACCGGTTTGCCAAGATGTGTATCATCAAGTCTTGATTCCACAACCTCCGGTTCGTCATCGTCAAATAAACCAAAATCCAAAGGTCTATTTGAATCATCATTGCTTGCACCTGCAAGCGATTCATGTCTAAGAGGAAAAACATCTTCCACGAAAATAACATCTCGAGAGACAAACACTTCCTCTGTTTCCAAATCAAATAAATTCCATCCTTTCTTATCAAATGGATATCCCACAAACAAGCAACGTCTGCTTCGACTTTCAAACTTATCTCCTCCTCTTCGTTGATTATGAGCAAATGCCAAGCAGCCAAAAACCTTCAAGTTGTCATAAGTGGGAGGAACACCATAAATCAGTTCATAAGGTGATTTTCCTTTCAAGAGACGTGATGGAGTCCGATTTATCAAATAAGCTGCTGTTAAAACACTTTCTCCCAAGAACTTAACTGGCAGAGAAGACTGAAATAGCAGTGCACGAGCTACATTCAAAATATGCCTGTGCTTTCTCTCTACTCTCCCGTTTTGCTGTGGTGTTCCAACACAAGACGTTTGGTGTCTTATCCCCTGTTCTCGAAATTCAGAAGCAAAGCTTGTGAATTCAGTTCCATTGTCACTTCTAACAATTTTAATCTTCTTCCCAAATTGTCTGTGTGCCATGGTGATAAAATTCCTCAATGTTTCTTTGACTTGAGTTTTATCACGAAGTAGAAACACCCAAACTCCTCTTGAGTGATCATCAACGATTGTCAAAAAATAGTATGAGTTGCACAAACTTGGACTACGATATGGCCCCCATAAGTCACAGTGAATCATATCAAAAATTTCGTCGCTTTTATTATCACTTGAATGAAAAACCTCTCGACTATGTTTAGCTTTCACACAAGTATCACAAACTGAAAAATCCCTACTCCTATTACCAACAATAGGAAGCAAATCAAAAACACCATTGGATGGATGTCCAAGTCGTTGATGCCACATCTCATCGGCTCCATCTTTATTCAAAGGTAAAGCTCTAAAATTCTTCAAGCGACGAAAGAAGTAAAGTCCATCCCGAAGCTCACCCGCTCCAATCAGCCTCCTCTCGATACGGTCCTGAATTACACAACCCTTATTAGCAATCTGTAACACCACATCCAAGTCCTTAATAAGTTGTGACACCGATATCAAGTTGCATCTCAAATCCGGAACAAACAACACATTCTTAAGAGCAAAATCTTCATCAAAAATTACTGTCCCTTTTTCTCGAGACAAGCTCTGTTTTCCATTTGGAAGGCCAATACCACATGGCAACATATACTTCCGATCATTCAACAAGTCAACATATCCAGTCATGTGATTCGATGCTCCTGTATCAATCACCCAGTCATGAGAGAAAGACTTACCAGTCAAGCGAGGTGTTGCTCCTTGTTTCTCTTCCAATAGCTTGATTAGTGTGCTCCATTGTTCGTTAGTGAGTCCAATGTACCCACTTCGTTCTGCTTCAGTGCTGATTTCACCATCACCACTGTTTGGACCTATCACGGCATTGGCTCGAACCATTCCGCGTCCTCTTCCCATTCCACGACCACCACCGCGACCTCCTCGTTGTCCTGCTCTTTCTCCCCACCATTCTGGATATCCGATGGTTTGATAGCATGTCTCTGCGGTGTGTCCTTTCTTCTTACAGTTTGTGCATGTCAGTTTGAGCTTCTCCTCTTTGACATTACACTGTTTCTCTGTGTCACAAACGCCGTTTGAGGTGTTTGTTGTTCTCTTCCACGCATCACCGTGTTGATTCTCTCAACAGATTTTACTTTGGAGTAAACTTGGTTAAGGTTTGGAAGAGGATCAGTGCTGATGATTGAAGTGCGAACTCCTCCATAGATAGCATCATCAAGCCCTAGAAGAAACTGGTGAATCCGATCTTCTTCTCGTTTCTTCTCAAGTTCGGAATTCAAGTTGCACTTGCATAATCCACACTTGCATTCCGGACTTGTTTCATAGTTCAACAAGTCTTCCCAAGAACTTGTAACTTTCCAAAGTACTCGATCACACTCGAGTTTCCTTGTCGGCAAACCGCCAGTTCAGCCTTGATCTCCTGAATTCTTGGTCCGTTTCCTTCAGAGAATCGTTCCTTAATCTCTTTCCACAGCTCCGCTGGATCTTCTTTGTTTGCCAAAGTTCTTCTTACTTTAGAATCCACTGTGTTTAAGATCCACAAAGTCACCATTGATTTAGCAGAAAGCCAATCTTCATGGTCTGCTGCATCTTTCGCCGGCTCCGTCACACTTCCGTCAACGAAACCAAACTTCTTCTTTACTCGCAGCGCAGTCCGCACCGCTTGAGCCCATTCATCAAAGTTGTCACCATTAAACTGAACCTATGCAATCACTGCACCAGGATTCTCAGTCGCCGAGAGCTGGTATGCTCCTTTCATCTCTTTCTCAACTAACGCCATCGCCAAGTTGCCCGGATTAGGCAAGATCTCTGTATCGGAGTCGATGTTCTCAAGATCGTCTCGCTCTGATACCATGTAAAACAAGGTTCTGAATGTTCTGAGTTTATTCACAAGCCAAGAGGCTCTATTTATACAAAAGATCAAAGACCCTAACAGCCTAGGGTTTTTACAAAGGATTGTAAATTTACAAAGGATTGTAAAGTTTCCTAAAAGAGTTTTTACAAAGGATTGTAAAACTTCCTAAAACATAAATGTACATATTTTCGGATAACGTGCCATATACGTCTAACTATATGGGCCTCCTCTAACACCGACGGTAAAACTTTTGTATCAGTTGTAAACTTACGAGTATAAGCGACGTTAGATGCCTATTTTTTTGTAGTGCTTTCATTTTTTGATTTTAGACTTGCTGTTCTTTTTAAAATGTGCAATTTTGATTGCTGACTTGGAGATAATTTCCCTAAAAAAAAAAAAAACTTATGGGAACAAAAATATCCGTGAAGACCACCATAATTAGTTTAGAGATGGAAAACTTGGTGGCCAAGTTTCTTCTCTGTATTAATATTCAAGTGGATGAGATGTGAACATCACTTTCAATTAGGGTTTTGTTTTTCCAATCTTCTTCGTTTGGTCTATTGCTTTTCACTAGAAACATACATATCCCATGTCTCAGCTTCTTCTCGGCCAACCTCCGAAGCTCTGCCTTCGGAGACCGGTGTTTGTTAGAGCCTCTCCTCTTTTGTGTAACGGCCTCTCATCTTCCTCGCTGCAAAGCCCTCCTTGTTTCATCCAAGGCGCTGATCCGTGTGGAGCTGATCTCGGAAAACTCATCATTTACACTGCTACTGAACGTACCTTCATTCATTTGGATAAGAAGGTGCCAATGGATCTGGTATATAATGACGGTATTGATACACTGGTAACGATCGGGTCATCTCATGGCTGGATAGCCACTTTGAAGGATGACGGAATTCTGCGTCTCCAAGATGATCTAAACCCGGTTGCATCCGATTTACATCCGAAACGCCTCCCTCTGCCTCCTCTTGTAACTCTGCCTCATTGCCAAACCAGAATCATCACCAACGTGTCCTTGTCCTCACCTTCTCCAGAGGAACAAGACTGCATTGTGGCTGTCAAGTTCTTGGGACCTCAACTAAGCTTTTGCAGACCCGCGGCCGGTGAAAGCAATCCCGAGTGGATCAACATCAGAATCAACAACCCTTGCTTCTTCTCCTCACGAGTCATGTTTTCCAAGAAAGATGACATGTTCCGCATAGCAGGATCTGGAGGCCACCTGATTGGATCATGGGATCTCCACAAGCACAAGCACACATCCAAGCTTCTGAAGCTTCAATATCATAACCTTCCCAAGCTGAGCGATTCCGAACGCGAGCTTTTGCATTCTTGTTGCACGAGCGAACACCTGGTTGAGTCACCATCCACGGGTGAGACTTTCTTGGTTAAGCAGTACAAGAAGACTGATGAGATCGTCAAGGGTATTGCCAGGTTGAAAACTCAGAGTTTAATGGTGTTCAAGCTAGACGACGAAGGAAACGCAGTTTACACTGACAACATCGGGGATCTCGTCATTTTCCTCTCAAAGTCTGAACCTTTCTGTGTCCCTGCTAGCTCCTTTCCCGGCCTGTTCCATAGCAAAATATATCTATATGACGTGGACGAAGTCGGAATTTTCAATCTGTCTAAAAGCCACTATGTTAGTAAAATTTACGACGTCGGATGCCCCGCCCCTTACTATATTCCACCTCAAAATATAAGTCTAGGAGGTTTAAGTATAAAAGTCTGTCTTTCCTTTTAAAGCTTTCAAATATCATCAAATTCGTTTTTATATATTATGTTAGCATCAAATGATTCAATTGTGCTTTAGTGAACCAAAAAAAAAAAAAGAAATCAGACTACCAATAGAAAAAGACTGCCTTTTGATTCACAAAAGTGCTGTGACTTGTGACTTTTGAATCTACGGACTTTGGGATCCTAGGTCTTTTACATTTGGTCCTAACATTCTAAAATATACATCTATGGTGTGTGTATGCATGTTATTATTAAAGACATCGTAAGCAGAAGTCAACTTTGATAACTTAACTGGTCTTAGCGAGAATTGGCATAAACTTGGATACCGTTGGAATGATTTGAAAGCAAGTGGAGATTAAAGATGACTCTTCTTTCTATCTTGTGTCCAAATTTGAGCTTGATCCATTGGTGGGAAGCCTTCCATCCGCTTTGATCCGTTTAGTTGACAAGTTATGTCCAAAAGGTCTATTGTGTATCCTTTTGCATCCTTTGTACCTAAAAACCTGTAAAAGCCTTGTATTATCCAAAAACAATAGAATAGTCTCTAAAACATCTAAACTAGTAAAATCTTAATGAAAACTATAAGAAAACGTAGGTAAAAAGTGGTAAAAATGCATGTATATCAGTTAGTAAGTGGTACACAAAAGATTCAAAGCACTGGTTTGTTCATTTTTCATTTCAAATGGAGATAATTTCTACACCCCAGTGAGCTCTTACCCTACACTACAAGAAATATATACATTGTTAGCACGAAAAATTTGCTATCATATGTATTAGATAGCGTTTTCTCAAGTGCTATGACATCGGCAGCTATGTTAGGTGGTACCCATACGATAGCATTTTTTTAGAAAGCTATGATAGATTCAGATATCATAGCATTATTTGAAAGCTGCATACCGTTGGATGACAACTCTGATTTCGTGCTGTGGTAGACCCTTATACAATAGCAAGTATATTAGTTGCTATGGTAGAGTCTCATACAATAGCAATCATATTCCTTGCTATAAAACAATGGCATATACTATAGCTCTTCAGCATTACTCTGTTCAATTTAGAGATCTGCTATAATATACTAATTCGTGGCTTTTTTTTTCATGCTATGAAATAAGTTTTGCTCTTTTTGTTTTTGCTGTTATATGTATTTTCTAAAAGCTATAAAAACTCTTGCATAATAAAATGTATTCCATCAATAAAATGTATTGCATAATACAAATCCACCATTCATAACAGAAATGTGAATCCAAATACATAACACAAGTCATCAAATGGAAGATTCATTCAAACAAGATAACATAAGTCCAAATGTGAAGATTCCATTCAGAAAAGATAACATAAGACAAGTAAATTTTTAGATTAGTCTAGTCTTAAACAAGTTAACACTAGCTAATCTGGACCAAACTTGCTTCATCCCCTGCAATAAACGGTTATGTCTTTCATCAGTTTACCATAAAGCCTTGCTCATTTCAAATCAAACGCAGAAACAATGCAGTAATTACTTAACATACCTTTTGTTTCTCCTTCTCAATAGATGACCAATTTATCCATGGGCCATGCAATTGATGAACCGTGTGCATCTTTCACAGTCTCGATTTCATCTGATGGCTTCCACACTGCTGCATCATCAACTTTGACTATATCTACCCAAACTCTTGCTGCACCAAACCCCAATCTAACAAAATGTACCTTTTGTTCTGGGTCGGTCGAATGCACACGACCTTCAGCAACAACCAGCTTTCTTCCACTAATATCCATCAACTTGCACTTCTGATTTTCCTTGATAACCTCTACTCCCTGTTTAAGCTTCCGTGTTTTCAATATCAACCACATAATACACAGTGAAAATAGTAAACATAAGCAATATATGAACACATCGAAAAGGCATTTACCGGATATGTTTCTGGAGACTTATCATTAGCCGAATTTGAAACTCTGGCTAAGACATTGGAGATCTTTGGACCTTGAACCTCCATTCGTTGTGAATTTCTTTTTGATTAACAAAAGGAAACTAACATCTCTTCTTTCATTCAGGTGTATCTGATGAAAAATGTCACAAAGATTTACTACAAAACTTTACATGGTACATTTTTATAAAATTCAGTTTTATAAAATCTTAGGATGAACAAAACAGTTAAATAGGGGAAGGCAGAGAAAGTCTTTCCATTAAGCTCGTCTCTTGTTTTACATGTATGTTTATATATACAGACTAAGCATTCAGCGAATAACTGGTACTATAATAACCAGCAAAAACCTACTAAATTACTTGACATCTCACTCCCCTCTTGCTTATTTTCATTCTCCCTATCACTCACATTATACAATAACACTTACATACACAGACAAACTCACAAATGCACATACTCCCAACTGACCATCATTGCATAGAACAAGAATAATGAATAAAATCCAATAGATTAAGAAACAAAATAAGATCATCTTGTTTCTTTCTTGATCTCAGCCTTCCTCGTTTCACTATAATCAGATGGCAAATACATTGTTTCTTCTCCTACAAAAACTTCTTCTTGTTGTGTTGTTCCTGTTCCGTCATGCATAAGTTTCTCTAGCTCCGGTCTGAGTTCCTTGTTGCAAAACTCTTCATACTCTTCTCTGTCTCCTCCTTTCTTCTTCACCTCCACAACCACAAGAGATGGCGTCAACTCAAATATCTCAGCTCCAATCGTCAACGGTCCTTTTGCTCCTTCTCTACAACCTTCTAACCTCAAACTCCATTCCTTCTTCCTCACCGTAAAGCTCACAACTTTCGCAATCTCCTCAAGCTTCGCTACAATCTTTGAAACAGGAGCGCCTGACAAAAACCTCGTCCCTTCTCCTCCTCCTTCCTCAAACAAGCCGGACAGATCAAACCCTGACGAGAATGATATTATGTCAAACGCGTTTAAGCTCGCGGGTCTCTTAATTGACCCCATCCGCTTCACATCGAACTCAGCGTCGCTCTCTGAAACCGTCGAAGACCTGCCGGAAGAAGAACCTGACGCCTCTTCCTCCTCCTCCTCCTCATCTTCTCTACACAACTTATCGTCCTCGATGTAGAATTTTACGTGTTTGAATCCTTTCTTGAACCATCTGCTCTTCATGATCTCAGGTATCGTAATCCTAGTATCCGGATTCGTGTCAAGAAGCCGAGTCAACAACCGAACAAGATCCGACGAAAACCAACGAGGACAACGAAACTCTCCTTTGTAGATCTTCTTGTACATAGCCATTATGTTCTTGTCGTAAAACGGAATGTGACCGGCCATCAACACGAACAAGATCACTCCGCAAGACCAAACGTCGGCTTTCGCTGCATCGTACCCTTTTCTCGTCAAAACCTCCGGCGCAAGATAAGCCGGAGTCCCGCAAAACGTGTGGCAGAGACCGTCCTGCCGGAGCTGCTCCGCCACCGCGCTGAGACCAAAGTCGGAGACTTTAAGGTTCCCTTTGTTGTCTAGAAGGAGATTCTCCGGTTTGAGGTCACGGTGGTAAACGCCGCGTCCGTGGCAGAACGAGACGGAGGAGATCAGCTGCTGGAAATATCTCCGAGCGGTTTCTTCCGGCAACCGACCTTTAGCCACCGTGTTGAATAACTCGCCGCCTTTAACGTACTCCATCACGAAGTAAATCTTGGTCTTGGTCGCCATGACTTCGAATAGATGAACGATGTAAGGGTGGCGGACGCGGCGGAGGATGGAGATTTCACGTTTAATGTGAGCCACCAAACCGCTCTTCATGATCTTCTCCTTGTCGATGACTTTAATGGCGACGTTTTCTCCGGAACTAATGTTTTGTGCTAAGTAGACCTTAGCGAAGGTTCCGTGGCCAAGAAGCCTCCCTAGCTCGTACTTCCCCATGAGAATATTGTTTCTTGGGCTCCTCGGACTTCTTGGACTCTGTGGGCTCATGTTGCCATCTTTGTCTGTGTCTTTGATACCGATCCGGCCAAGAAGATCGGTTACGTATCGTAGAGCGTAGGGCTTTTGCTGGGGTGGTGGCGGCGGCTGTGGGACGACGGTGGTGATCACCGGAGGTGGTGGAGCCAAGGCTTGAGCCATCCGTGACTAGAAAGACTTTTTGATTGGTTTTGTTTTTTTTTGTATTTGGGGTTTTGGTTGGATTGTTTCTTCCGTTTTGTTTTTGGTTGGTTGGCCAAACGTGAAAACGACCAAAAAGCGAAAAAGAAACAGAACGAGAATAAAATAGGTTTTGGTTTGTTACTTGTTAATGTTGGCCTACTTTACCTAAATTTGTCTTGTTTTATAACGGTTTTGGTTTGAATTATTATTTATTATGTGTGAAATTTGAAATGGTCTAATTGTATTATTGCAACATTTAATTTTTAATTGACTTCGAATTTATCATTATGTATCATTTTTTTTGCCAGCACATTTACACGTGTTCTAATGAATTCATTTGATATTGGAGTATTAGATATCCAATAAAGTAACAAATATTACGTTGTATTAACAAAAATAAAAAGGTTGTATCGACATTTTACACATGAACGTCTATTCCAAAATTTTGTGAAGTTTCCAAAGCTTCGTTATAAAGGTTACTGGAAGCATTTCTTATAGACATTGTCCTTAACATTTCGGGTTACGATAAATATAATTCCGAAATTCGTAGAAGTTTTTTGAAATTTTTGTGAGTTTCAAAAAACTTGTATAAAATTTCCAAAAACTTTGGAATTTGTCATTCAACCGAGAAAACGTGATAAATAACGTTCACCAATTACCATACGCACACCCAATGAACACCACCACCTCGCTGACTTCAAATCGGAAGAAAATATAAACAAACATTCGTAAGAGTAAAATAGGATTTACGAAAATGGTTTTGGTTTATGTTACTCGAAAATATATGTTACTCCCAATTCAATTTCAGTGAAAGAAAAAAAACTAAAATAGGATTTTGTCTGTAATATGCTATTTCTAGAGGATTTTGTCTATGATCTGATCTATTTCTACTTTCTAGAAATTTCTTCAGGGCCAGATAACAGAAAGAACTTATCAATACTAGAGGGGATCTGATTGATCAGCAGATCATGGATTCAAAGATCGTTGCCATCGTTTGACATGGTCACGCTTCACTGGCTTTGGACTTTTAAAATATTTTTCTTTCGTCACCCATTTTTTCTTCTTCTTATCTTATTCCAACATTAACATTTTTCTTGTTAAAGGTTTCAACATTAATATATAGTTATTTGTGGGAACCACGAGTTGCTGAGTGTGTGCTTACGTGAGTTCGTGGACTTCACGTTGCCGACCAAATCCAAGCACCATTTTTATATTTTCGTACATTATATTAAGAAGAGAAAATGGATCAACATAACCTTGAAAAGTTTAAAAATAACTACAATAATGTGTAAAAAGACTTGTAAAGTTTTCAGGAGACCATGTATTACAAAATTGCCACTCCATTTTACTAAACCAAAACCAAAATCAAACCAATTTATTAAACCGAAATCAATACCAAAATTCAATCTAAACCAAAAATCAAACTTAACCAAAACATAAATAAAAAATTTAACTTTACCTAATTTTGCAATTAAAAAATAAAATTAATAAAAATTTTTAAAAAAACTAATAAATAAAAACTAAAATTACGAAAAATTAAAATTTAAAATTAAAAACTAAAATTATTTAAAATTTAAAATTAAAAACAAAAAAACTAAATTAAAATAAAAACAAAAAAAACTAAAATTAAAATTATTAAAAATTTAAAATTAATAAAAAAAATTAAAATTAATAAAAAAATTTAAAATTAAAATTATTAAAAATTTATAATTAAAATAAAAAATATTAAAAACTAAAAATTAAAAATTAAAAATGACTTAAAAGAAATTTTACATGAACAAAAATAAAAATATGTTTGAAATCGTTGTGTGATCTCGACTAACAAAATGTTAATGTACGACTGACTCTTATTGATTAGCTTATGTATAACTGTTGTATATGGTTGCGATCGTTTTGAATATCTCAAAACGATTATGCTATCTGTGGAAAATTAAACAAACTCCTTGACGTGCTAAGTACTTTATCCTATCTATTATAAGCACAAAGAAACACATAAGCAACTACAAAGTCAATACTTTAACCCACTGGTTACAGTTTATACGAAAGGACGAAATAGTTATCTAGGTGTGACAATATAATATCATTATTATGTATTTATTATTGAGTATGTTTTGAATTGAAACTACATGAAATAGTCCTAATTAATTGTTTAAATAAAAGTTCGAGTGCTTCATTTGCGATAAAGCTTATATATGTGACACGAATCAAGATATTATTACACCAAACAAGAGTAGCCTCAAACTGTGAGACTTCCTGATCACGCAACAGAAACGTGATCCTCTTCTTAACTTAATTTTTTGTTTTTTTCTGACAACAATGTCAGAATACTAGTTATTTGATAAAAGCCAAAACAAATGAAGAGTATTGAAAACGGAACAGAGTGATGATCATCTCTGTCAACGGTTTGTTTGCTCTTTCGTTTCCTCTGAATGGTTTACTTTCTCTTTGGTTTCGTCCGGTTGGTTTATTTCTTCTGTTTTGTCCGGTTGGTTGATTTGTAGTTGCACTAAACTTGGAACATAAGAAGAACACACGAATACAACGCCATCACGTGCCCTCCAATAAACTTCATCCATCTTGAACGATCTCAAGTATCCATCTTCTCCAATAATGTTAGCCATTCGGTAGCCACAGGGGTCGGCCTCGTCTAATCTATTTAGACCAAGAAACGCAGCGACTTTCTTCTCCTCGTCAATGAAATATCTCTTAAGGTCGAAATAATCAAATTCTCTCACATCTATCCTCAAGAAAATGCTCCATGATATCGCATTGGGCTCAGTCTTAGTCGAAATCCACATCTCTATTATGTCGGACCGCTCGAGTTCGAAGCCTACTTGAGGGTCATGTTCGTAGAGGAAACTCAACACAGCGAGCTTCTCATCTCTAACCCAAAATAGATGCTCATATGCGAACGAATAACGACGGTAGGGCTGAAATGGCAGAGGCAGACGTGGTCCGAATCTCTCTGTAGTGAAATCAAAACAAACCAAATAATCTTCCCTATAATCCCTATAATCCTTATCCTCTTTACCTAAAAGGTATGCATTTCCTTTCAAAGACACGCCGTAATCAACCAACCAGACGGGGACGGGATAGACATCAATAACCCTCCATGAATCAGAGCTAAAATCGTACACTTCACTACTTCAGCACATTCCTTGTGGTTAGGGTAGTCATAAAAAGTCCTCAAGATTTTGTGTTTACGGTTGTTGTTGTTGTCGTATCCGTATCCGAGGGCATAAACGTCACGTCTATCGATTTTCTTTATGTGTCGGATCCATCTGGTTTGCCCCATATACGGATTCCATACCAAGAGCCTCGCCCTGATGTGGTGGTCACTCGTGACGCATAACAATAAGCCATCGCAGTGATAGACTTTATACACCTCGTCTTGATTATCAGGTATACTTATTTGCTTCATAGATGGATCAACCGAGTCCTTTTCATCATCTTTTTCGTTGCAGGCCTTTTGGAGATCGAACCTCAATGAACAAATATTATGATCTCTAATCATGAACTCCAGAAACTGATTCTTCTTTGCTCCTTTTTCACCCAAAACCTGTTTTTTCGACCTATCGTTCCAGGTTTTACAAGTAGATCGTACTGCAGATAAAGATATCAATGGAACCCTAGAGAGAATCTCTCCGATCATATCCTCTGAAAGATCAGTAAAGTTCGTCATCCTTCCTTACTCTTGGACGTTTTGTTTTTTTGGACAATGTCGAAACCCTAATTATTTTTCTCACTTTGGTTAGCTTCTGTACTTATTATTAATTAAGTAGTAACGTTTGCTTAGGCCCAGGTTGTTTAAATGAGCCCAATAAATTGAAATATAACATACCGCCGGTTGAATAATAGTAACATCAAGTATATCGCTCATAGTCTTACACGATGGAAGAGTTAATATGATAAATCATTTCTTTAAATAAAAAAATTGGTTTTCTCTGCAAATAATGTACAAATGAATATGCAGACAATATTTTTCTCAAAAATTGCATCAAAATATATACAAAAAGAATATCAAGTGTGGACAAAAAGGAACGTTTAGTGCTTTAATTTTCTGTGTATATCTTAATCGCGCGCAGAGGCTTAAGTGGCATTTTCCTTCACCGTTTGAAAAATTTCCAGTCTGACTTGTAATGCAAGTAAACTCAAGTCAGCTACCGTTTTAGATGAGAAAAGTTTGTCTCATCCTGGCCAAAACCGAACCCAATTAAAGACAAGAATCTTGATAAAATAACGACAAACTCGAAAGATATATAAGTATATATATATATGAAAGAAATCCTAAGGAAGTTAAAAAAGAACAACAACATTTTTAATTAGTTATTTCAGTAGGGACTGTAGGGTGACACCGTGCAAATCAGAGGGAAAACCAAACCAATCCCAAACACGAGATCAATTGAATTTGAAACGAAATGTGAAATATTAATTTAAAAAAAAATCAAACAATTTGAGTAAAATAGACTGTTTTTGACGTTTGAAGATTGTGCTCTTCACTACTTCAAGATGACCATAAGGGAAACAGCAGAGTCAAGGATACAAAAAGAGCTGTAGGGAAACGTGAGGGACAAGGATTAAGAGCATCAGGTTAAGAATATAATAGATTTACGTAAGATATACACAGATGTAAGTAAATGACGATGAGAAGTGCCCTAGATTAAGCCTAACTGTAACAAATTATATATGGAATCAAATGATAACTTCCAAGATAATGTTTCATCAAGGCGATCCTCTTCTTAACTTAATTTTGTTTTTTCTCTCAACAATGTCATAATACTAGTTCTTTGATAAAGGCCAAACCGAATTAAGAGATGCACCGAAAATAAAATAAAAGAAAACAAAGGAAGAAATAAATAGAGCAAGGAACAAGAAAAGTATTGAAAATGGAACAGAGTGATTATCGTCTCTTTCTTTCCTTTTTCCCCGTTGGTTGATTTTCTCTTTGGTTTGGTCAGGTGACTCAGGTTGGATGATTTGCTCTTTGGTTTTGTCTGAATGGTTTATTTTCTCTTTGGTTTCGTCCGGTTGGTTGGTCTGCTGTTTGCCTTCGTCAGGTTGGTTGATTTGCTCTTTGGTTTTATCTGAATGGTTTATTTTCTCTTTGGTTTCGTCCGGTTGGTTGGTCTGCTGTTTGCTTTCGTCAGGTTGGTTGATTTTCTCTTCTGTTTTGTCCGGTTGGTTGATTTCTTCTGTTTTGTCTGGTTGGTTGATTTGCAGTTGCACTAAACTTGGAACATAAGAAGAACACACGAGTCCTATGTCATGACTTGCCCCCCAATAATTCGAAACTTCTTCCATCTTGAAGGATTTTAAGTATCCATCTTCTCCAACAATGTTAACCATTCGGTAGCCACAAGTCTTAGTCTCGTCGAATCTATTTAGACTAAGAAACACAGCGACTTTCTTCTCCTCGTCAATGAAAAAACTCTTAAGGCGGAGATCATCAAAATATCTCATATCTAGCCTCAGGAAAATGCTCCATGAGATGGCATTGGGCTCAATCTTAGTCGAAATCCAAATCTCCATTATGTCGGACTGCTCGTACTCGTAGTCTATTTGAGGGTCATTTTCGTATACGAAACGGAACACAGCGAGCTTCTCATCTCTAACCCAAAATATATTCTCAGAGTTGAGCCAATAACAATTGTAGGGCTCAAATGGTAGAGGCAGCAGTGGTCCGAATCTCTCTGTAGTAAAATCAAAACAGACCAAAAAATCTTCTATACAATTATGTTCTGTTGAATCCTTTTTCTGTTGAATCCTTTTTACCGAAAAGGTATGCATTTCCCTTCAAAGACATAAAGTTCATGCCAGTCGGGATAGTCATCAATAACTCTCCATGAATCAGAGCGAAAATCGTAGACCTCAGCACATTTCTTCTTGTTATGGTAGTCATAGAAAAGCCTCAAGATTTTGTGGTTACGGTTGTTGTTGTCGTCGTATCCATATCCCAGAGCATAAGCGTCATGTATACGGATTTCGATTCTGAGTCGGATCCATCTGGTTTGCCCCATATACGGATTCCATACCAAGAACCTTCCCTTGTAGTCTTTGTCTCCCGTGACGCATAACAATAAGCCATCGCAGTGATAGACTTGATGTACCTTGTGTTGATTATTAGGTATGCTTATTTGCTTCATAGATGGATCCATCAAATCCTTTTCATCATCTTTGTCGTTGCAGACCTTTTGGAGATCGAACCTCAATGAACAAAGATTATGATCTCTAATCATGAACTCCATAAACTGATTCTTCTTTGCTCCTTTTTCACCCAAAACCTGTTTTCTCGATGAATCGTTCCAGGTTTTACAAGTAGATCTTACTGCAGATAGAGATGTCAATGGAACCCTAGAAAGAATCTCTCCGAACATATCCTCTGAAAGATCAGCAATTTTCGTCATCCTTCCTTACAGTTGGACGTTTCCCTCCGCAGCTTCCTTTTCTTTTGTTGACAATGTCGAAACCCTAATTATTTATCTCACTTTGGTTAGGCTTCTTTACTAATTATCAATCAAGTAGTAACGTTTTCCTTAGGCCCAATTTGTGTAAATGAGCCTATTACACTTTGACAAAAAAAACCCCAATAAAGTGAAATATAACATTGTACCAGGTTGAATAATAGTAACATCAAGTATATCGCTCATAGTCTCATACGATGTACAAAGTTTGTTTTCTCTGCAAATAATGTAGAAATGAATACCCAGACAATATATTTCTCAAAAATTGCATCAAAACATATACTAAAAGAATATCAAGTGTGGACGAAAAGGAATGTTTAGTGCTTTAATTTTCTGTGTATATCTGAATCGCAGAGGCGTAAGTGGTATTTTCCTTCACCGGTCTGAAAATTTTCCAATTTCTGACTTGTAATGCAAGTAAACTCAAGTCAGCTACCGTTGTCTTGTTGCTGCAGCCTCCTGCCTCGTTGCTTTTTATCCATATATCTTTAGGTTTTTTGTTTCATGAGTCATTTGCGTATTTGTTTGACTCGTCTATGATTTTGTTCTGTTGTAAGAGCCGTGAGAAAAATGGTGGCTCTCGTCGTCTCTATTTTATCTATGGATTTGATACGCTAGAAAACTCTTCTATGGTAAGTTTTCTCTATCATCATGTACGCTTCTCCACTCTCCATCATGGTAAGAAAACTCTTGCGCGTTTGATGATGTATAAATTGTTTTGATGATCATTCTCTTAGATAACTTAGGTAAAAAAGAGTTTCTTGGTTCATGTTGCATAAACATGTTCCTTCACTTCATTTCCTTTTTAGCAAAACAGAATGTTGATGAGTTGTTTGACTACTTTTGGCCATCTTTTTGCAGCTTATAACACAGGAGGATGAGATAACTAACATCAAAGGGAGCTTGCAGTTATTCAAATCAAAGAGGATATGAGAGCTGAGGAAGAGTCTGTAGTGAATAGAGCTGTCAGTCCCACCCGAAACCAGCAAGCCAAGTCCATATGGACATTTGCAGGCTCGACCTATTAAAATATATCAACATATTTGCGGGTTTAGAGGGCTAAGCCCATGTGGGCATTAATTGGCTTTGGGCGGGTTAACTCAATGTGGGTTTGCGGGCAACACTACTAGTGATAGTTGTAGAGTTGGTGTTTAAGCTTGAACTATTACATCTTTAACAATTGGGTTGTTTTCAGTTTTTTCAGACTTTTTGTTTGGACTAAGAAACTTTTAATTACGAAGGTAATGTAAACTTTTGGCAACTTATTTTCATTTGTTATGCTTCTAATAATTCATACATGTTGGTTATGTTTCGTTTTGTGCCTAAATGCTAGTGTGATGCAAGGTAGTTTGCTCTTTAGTTATGAAGGTAAAGTACTAATACTGATCCAAATCTTTCCTGTACAAACACGATGCAAAGTGTTGAGAGAACATTTCAAAAGTAACCGCATATATAAGGTGGGTGGGTTTGGGTCTAGCATTCGGAACCGCAGCCCGTGACGGCTAACCCGCATGATCCACATTCCACATAAAATAAAAAAATTGTAGAAGGCTGGCCCGTTTGACATCTCTTTAATATAGATATATAGCCATATAGGCATATAACGATCCAATTCATTAACACTACGTCGTTTCTGTAGACTAGCCATATAGGCATATAACGATCCAATTCATTAACACTACGTCGTTTCTGTAGACATAACAGGGTTCTGATTTGGGTGGGCCAAAGTTCGGGTTGCAGTTCAATTGGAAACAAAATTTGAACCCTAAAGCTATCAATTTCCATTTTCTTCTTCCCCCAAAATTTTCATCTGCTCTCGCAAATCGGATTCGAATTTGGGTAATCCTAATCTCGAATTTGACCTCAGCAGTTCCCTTATGGCTCCGAAGAAGAAGCACTCTGAAGGAATCGCTTTGCTGTCCGTTTACAGTGATGAGGACGACGAAGAGATGGAAGACGCCGACGAAGAGGAGGAAGAAGAAGAAGAGCAGAGACACCATGAAGAAAGTGAACGCATTGACGTAGATCAGCTAGAAGAAACGAATTTCATGGATGAAGACAGAGGAAGAGGAGAAGCTTCCAGAACGCCTAGAGACGGTGGTGGAGCTTCTAGCGCTCATGATACGCCCCGGTCACCGGATAACGACGATTCATCGGGACCCGATTGGTCGAATCGAGTGAACACTGAAGGAACCGCGGATGGCGAGAGAGCCGATGATGCCTCAGGGGAAAGTAGGGATTCGCTGTTGGATCAGTTTCTACCTCCGCGGCCGACAGAAAAGTGCTCGGAGGATCTGCAAGTAAGTTCCTTTATCCATGATGCTTCAATGTTCAATGCTCAATATTTGATTTGATGCTTCATTGTTCAAATCATGAAAACTCAGGTTACTGTTTTTTGGATTTTGGGTCGATTTTCAGTTCGCTGGGACTCTAGATTGAAAGGTTTTTATACTGTTGAAGAGGTTTATAGACATGTATGTATGTAGGCAAGAAATCTTCAGTGTGTTGTTTGCATCTCTTAGTAGTTTTTGGTTAGAAGCAGAGAAGAAGAGATTTTACTTTAACAAGTTTCATGACTGTGATTGCAGAGGAAAATAGATAAGTTTCTTAGCTTGAAGAAGATGGGGAAGAGTTTCAATAACGAAGTGCGGAATAGAAAGGAATACAGGAATCCAGACTTCTTGTTGCATGCAGTGAGTTATCAAGATATTGATCAGACTGGTTCTTGCTTCAGTAAAGAAGTGTTCGACCCCAATGGATATGACCCAAGTGACTTCTGTGATGCAATTGGTAACTCCTAATCCTTCTAATTTGATTCTTTTGGCTTTATTGCCAAGAGTATTAAGAGCAAGTTTGCATTTTGTTAGAAGACTCTTGTCTGAGTAAGAAGACTAAGAAGCACTTATACTTTTAGTATTTCACCATGGAGGATGCTGGTTGCTAGTTATTAGTAATTTAGTATAACCATATCTTGCGTTCTGCATTTTTGATGATCCTTTTTTGTTTTGAATCTGTCAATTACAGAAGTCGACATGAAGAATGAGAGGGAAAGGAAAGAACAAGAAAGCAAGAAGAGCCAAAAGCTCGACTTTGTTTCCGTCGGTACGCAACAACCTGGGACGGTTTACGCTGCTCAAAAGCCTAACATCCCCACCATCCCAGGTGTGTTGACAGTTAATAAAACCCAAAAGGTGTCCGTTTTGGTTCGTTTATATCAGCTTACATGTCTGCAATATTTTTCAGGTATTCCAGCTTTAGCTACTAGTGTATTGCCCTCGATACCAGCTGAAATCGCTGCTCGACCGAACAAGAAATCCAAATGGGATAAGGTGTGTTTTTATCAGATTTTGAATGTCTATGATGAGTTTCTTAGAGGACTGTGGCATATTTAGTTCTTTGCTAATGTTGTTATTGGTTAAATCAGGTTGATGGGGATGTGAAGAATCCTCCACCTCTACCAGCTGGGACTCAGGAGTCTCTATCCTCAATCCGGTCTAATGTATCCGCTTCTGCAAGTGCTGGTTCTGGATACTCAGCTTTCGCGTAAGTTGTTTGGTTCATAAAATTATAGTTTCTTGAGCTACTATATCGTCATTTGATTGTCCAGTGTTTTGGTAGAATGAATCTAAGTATGTGTTTTTCATCTGAACCATTACAGGCAACAACGGAGGCGAGAGGTGGAAGGAAGAAAATCTGCAGAGAGGAAACTGGAGAGAAGAAGTTGAAACATAAGCCAAACCGATGCCAATTTGATGTTGTAACTCTTTTGTAAGCAAGAGATTCTTCTAAAGATTGCCATGTTCCAATGTTTCATAGTGGTTACAATGCATTCACATTCTATTTTGTACCTAACAAAAAAAATGTTTTCAAGCATCAAAATTTACACATACACTCAGGACATTGTGGTTGTCTATAGATGCTGCGTCCGTAAGGCCTACGACGAATCTTTTGGCCTTCCTCGACCATTTTTCTTATGCGATCTTCAAATATCTCCCACTTTATTGTTTCACTGTCTGATAAGATCGCTGCAAGCCTCTTCTTGTTAGGCCTCAGCGTTGGTGCGTGACCGTTGCCGTAATATGTTCTGAATCCAGAGACTAAGGATGATAGTTGGCTCCCAGAATCAGTCATTGCAAACACATCTGAAGCTGCACAAGCTATGAAATCCAGTGCAGCTAGCTGCAAAACATAGCCCCAAACATCAAAATGAAGTTTGAGCAAGAACCAGGACAAAACCCTTAAGGACTTAAGAATGTACCATTTGGTTTATGTTTATTTCTTACCTGAGATGAGAAGTTCTTAAATGGTGCGAGTTCTTGGGGTGTAAGGAGAGCTTCTTTGGTGACGAGATTCGGGTAAAGAGTTGTTAAGGGAAGCATACGAGAAGAGCCACCATAGATTTGAGATCCAGCTAAGTATATATATGTTCCTCTCTTGAATCCAAGACCAGCAAGAACCAGAGTCGCTTCCTCTGGTGTTAATGGACACTTACCCGTTTTTCTCAACTCTTCTGTAGAAACTGGCCTGAAATAACAACAAAAATGAAGATCTGATTCGTTTTCAAGAACACTGAAGAGGGACATAAGAAGAGTTTGTTTCTTTTTTTATGTTGTCAATAATTACTTTGATTTCTTCAAACGTTTGAGGAGAAGAGGGAAATGATCTTCACGGTACGCTTGAAGCTCTTTACGTTCGGTTTCTCCTCCTCCAAAGTCACACAGAGAGTAAGCAACCATGTCCTCTTCAAACCTTAGATGTAAAGCAAGATACTTCAACGGTTCTTCATCTCCTTTAAATGAATCTTTTGCCATGGATTCACCAAGAAGTGCTTTATCCAATCTGCTATGCGATTTTTCAAATCTCCTTATCCGTTTTACCAACAGAGATCCTGCTTCTTGAATCTTTGGCGTGAACTTCAGTGCGTGAAAGTTGCATTTACAACGTAATCTCTGTAAAAAATTGCATTTACAACGTAATCTCTGTAAAAATTTAACACAATAAACATATCATTTTTCAAGAACCAAAATCCTCTATTTCAGGTTAAGTGTCATTTTAGACTAAATCTAAAATAATTGCTAGTTTTAAATTTTCAGTACATAATTGTTACCTGAACATCAAAAGGCAACGGATCAAAGCCAAGGCGATTCCCAAATCCAAAAAGATGAACCATTCCATGCTTCTTTAACAATGGAAGAACGTGTTTGATGTAATCATCTGGCTTTGCCTCTTTTACAAGTTCTTCATCAGTAACCTTAAGAAGAAAGAAACAAATTGTTAAAAGAAAGAATATTTCAACTCCAATCATTTAAATAAGAGAAAGAGAGAATGTAAAACACACCAAACTGAGATTCTTCTTATCAGTAGATTTTAAATGTTGAGGAAGATCTTTTACTATGTGAACCCCATCTTTCAGATACTCAATAAACCCATCCTCCTGATATATATCACCAAACTGGCTGCAATTTGTCGAATTTTAGCAGAATTAAGAGAAAACACACACCGTTTTTAGATAAATTTCCAAGTTCTTGATTAGGTTAAAAAATACCTAGGATCTTTCCATACATTGCTGTAAAGAAACCGAGGAAGAACTACAGTCGCATTGAGCAGAGCAGCAACCGCAACAGCGTTACATATCTTCAAGTAAACTAACACAATTACTATACATATATACTTTCTTTGATGAATCAAATATCTAATAATAATTAGATTTGTATAAACTTACAGCCACTCGCTGTTGATTAAGGCCACCATTTGCACTAACCATGATGTAACCATTGCTTAATTCTCTAGACATCTCTAATGCTTTGTTAGTATCCGCACAAGGCTTCCACTGCGATGATGACTTTGAAGATCTTTCTTCCCGGAAATTCATTTTATTGGGTTTGAGTTCGTTCTAGTAACAAAACATAGTAACAAGACTATGAACCGATTCAAACACATAAAATAATGATAATAATAATAATAATCTTTTACATTTTCACTTACCTTTGCAAGAGAATTTGAAGCTACGTTTAGAAGCCGGCTATACATTTTCACCGGTGAAGCTTCAACTTGAGCTTCTTTATTCTTCGTTTTACAAACATGGAAATATAAACGGTAAAGAAGCAAGAACAATGGAGTGGATGCACGAAGAAAAATTGTAGATAAGAGCTTATGATTCTCAAACCTTGTGAAGAGTCACATTGCTCAACCTTGAAATGTCCTGCACCATGGTGGTACTATCTGAACGAAAGATCGTAACCATAATGGAATCGAGAAAGAAAATGAAACCGGTGACTGAGATCATCAGAACAATCGACTTGAAGTTCTTTCGAAGCCATGATTGTTGCTTTTTCAAAGAGTAACTAAACTTGTTGTTGCTACTGCCACAGCTTTGATATTGTTTAGCTGATCCTTGAGATTTGGAAAGTTCACATCCATGTATTCTTCTACCAAGAAAGAGATCATTTCCAGATAAAGAATCCAAACTTCTTCTCCCAATTTTCTCTTCTTGATTTATTGTTCCTGGTCGAGGACTTCTTGGTGATCCTTGTCTCCCCATTAAACCTATCTCTCTCTCAGCTCATAAACTAAGAAATTGAAACAATAAGGAACAGAGCTAGATTAATAATCAAAAAGCTAAAAAGTTTCACCAATAAAATATGAAAATTGGTGAAAAAGGTCTGGAGAAATTAAAACAGAACAAGTTAAATTCTAAGTGAAGCTAACAGAGTTGTTGGGGAATGTGTGACTTTTTTTTTTGGCATCGGAAGAGTACAACGCAAGACAAAAAAAAAAAAGGCAAAACGTATAAAAAGTTCAATAAATAAATAAATTGGGATTGTGATGAGAAGAGACACGATATAAACCTTAATGAAGAAGATTGGGTATGGAGATAGCTACATGTCAACAAATCGCACCAGAACAGAAAGCTTCTGTTCTTCTGCTTTCTCGTTCGTCGGTCGTTGCCGATCTCCATGACCGATTCTCTTACCTTTTATTTTTTTGGGTGTTTGAAAATGCGATTAATACCTAATCAAATAAATTTTTCAGGAATCTCAAGAAGGTGCCCTGTGTTATATCCTATTTTCCTTATCCCTTTTTTTATTAGCCTGGACCCGGTAATGACTTGTGACGCAAGTTGCTCCTTTTACTTTGCGTTACGTTAGATACTATCCATAATACTAAGATGTTTCCAACTATCAGAAATCCGTTGTAGTCTAGCTGGTTAGGATACTCGGCTCTCACCCGAGAGACCCGGGTTCGAGTCCCGGCAACGGAGATTTTTGTTTTTTTTTTTTACTGTAATCGGGATTTTGATCTAAGCTTTTGAAAGGTTTTTCTTTACTGTTTGTAGTATTATTATTGTTAAATCATACATCTTAGTCATCCAGCTACTGGGGACTCGTCAACGGACCAAAATGTTTTTCCTTTGTTTAATAAAATGACTGAAAAATGTAGCAAAAAAATCATAAATCAACTCTGTTTGAACAAATTAAACTGGATTTTTTCATCAGAACTAAAAATAAACAAAATAAAGCTTTTTTCCCGTTTCTGTAAGATGAAGAATCTCATTGTGAACATTATACAAATTTTATAGCTTTGGAACAGGGACCTATAGAAGCTGCTTCTTCTTAGTTTCTTTTGTCTTCATCTTTCATGACAGAAGGAGAAGATGCAGAAAAAAGATGTCTTCGCTTTTTTCATTGCCTTTGCTTCGTTCTAGTGTTGTGAATGAGACGGTCTCATTACTATTGTTGAAAATACCTTCTTTTTTTTTTGAAAATACCTTGTTTTATGACTATGTTTCATCAATTCGAAATATTTACATTTTTTCTAATGCTTAAACGGGGCTAAAATCTAAAAAGGTCTAATTGGGCGCAGAGCCGGTCCTAAGAGCAAGTAGAGCAAGCTGGAGCGTGCGGCCCTAGTATTTATATATAAAATTTCGGCCCTAAAAATATAATTTGTCTTTAGTCCAGTGGTTAAGCTGCATATATTAATATTTTTTCTTTTTAAAGCATTTCTAGTAAATTAAATTGGCCCTTTTTTCTTCTTAGCTTGTGGCCGTCCAATACTCAGGGACTGTTCTGGGCGTTTCGATAAACGGACCCGCCCGTTTAGTAACACACCTTCGAAAAACAAGACATAGGACGAAGTTGGAAACACAAAAACCTCCAAATAGACTCATAATTCTACAGCATTCTTAAGAGCTTATAATAAAAACATGAACATTTATAACATTTTCCGGTTACGGGTTTGCTTACAATACAACTCAGTGATAGTTGCTTAGGTTGTCCATCAGAATGAACCTATACGAGCAAAGATGACAACATGACAACAAAAATTTGAGCTTATAGACAGAAAATCGAAATCCTTGATAAAAGAAGACACTTTGACAACATTAGGACAAGTACTAACCTTGTAGACAAGAACATGAAAGAGGTTTAAGTTGCGAGGAACAAAACATGAGCAGGAAAGATCAATCCACGGTATCCACCAAAGCAAGTTCAGTAACAATGAAGCAAAGTTGCTATGAACTAGTTTCATCTGAAGCCGCACATTGTTCTTCCCCATTGGAATTGCTTCTGCCCTAAAAAGATAAGCTCAAATTCTCATCGACGAATTCAGCAATCAGAACATGTGCAATCATTAACGAAAATGGTAATCAACGGTTTAGAGATGCTTACGGTTCACGGTTTAGAGATGCTTATTGAAATATTAAATCATTTTGAGAGAAGAATTCGTTTCTTTATTACAAAATTAATCAAGTCATTTTTTAGTAGAGTGGACACAAAAATCAAAACAGACAGATGTATTTGAATAAAGCATACTAGATCATTTTATAGAATTAAAAAAAAAATAAAGTTTTTTTGTTTCTTTCTTACAACTTACAATCCCATGAAATAGACAAACCATAAAATAAAATCAGAAAATTAGTAAATAATTTAAAGACAAACCATACGATAAAATCAGACAATTAGTAAATAATTTTAAACAAACGACTTTCCTTACAAACGTTTTTCAAACGAGCTTCAAGTAGTCTACGCCTTCTTCTTACCTTTTCCATTAGTCATATGGTTTGGATAGTTAAAAGTAATCACTTACTGACTCAAATTTAAATCTACAATTCATACATTTGTTTTTCCTTTGCTTAATTATGTTTTGCTGATATCTTACTTATATTTTGCTTACTTTTGTTAATTGATTATATCTTTCATTCCTTTATCTTGTTTGTAACTTTAGATTAAATATATGTATCAATAGAATTATAGGCACATTTAAGCTGATTACATACCACACAATAATTGTACATACTACTAGTAGAAGACCCGCACGTTTGTGTGATGTGATGTTGCGGTTTTGTGAAGAAAATCTAATATCTTACTAATGAAAACTATAAACCTCACAATATATAAGATCATGAAATTCTATCAATGATTTTCATCTAATTAAATAATACAGAAGTTAGTCATTCATAAATGCAGATAGAGTTTAGAGTAATGAGAAATAGATGTGTTATTTTCATTTTTAAAACAAATTAAGTCATTTAGTCATTTCTCAGCAAAGAGATGGAACGTGGTGAAAAAATTAATGATAAATTATCTCAAAAACAAAAATAGAATATTATTTCTTTAATCCTACAAAATATATAGCATTATAGAAGATCATAACATATTATGCTTTTAATTTCCTTTATTGTAAAAATATACTCGAATTTTTTATCACATATCTGATATTATAGGTAGAATTAGGCATGCGAGTTCCACCTGAAACCCGAACTCAACCCAAAAGCCCTAACAAAAATTTTAAAAACCCAAACTTTTAGAAATGTCTAAACCAAAAAACCCAAAAAAACCTTTAAAAGGTGCGGAAAACATGGAAATGTCTGAAAAACCCGGAAAACCATAATTGAACCCGAAAAAACTCAAACCCAATCCGAACATAATTTTTCTAAAAAAAACCTGAACAACTTCTATATTTCTAAATCGGAAAACCCGAAACCCGAAGAACCTGATTCTAAACCTGACCCAAAACCCGAAATCCCAAGCCTAATCTAAATTCATAGTTACTTTATTTATTTTATGATTTGTAATAAATTTATAGACGTTAATTAGGCGGTCATTCGAGTCTAAAAACTTAACATACTATGTTTTTTTTAAACACGTTAAAAACCTTTAGAAAACCCGAAAACCTATAAATAACCCTATCTGATTTTTTTTTAAAAACAGCACAATTTTTATTTCTCTAAACCCAAAAACCTTAAACCCAAATTCCGAAGCGTACATAAAATCATATTAAAATTGTTTTAGATAATATAAAATTTAATACATAATTACCAAAGTATCCCGTCACTTAGTAATAAATTGCAACCTCTTAATTATAAACGAATTGTCCACTTAATTTAAGTATTCTGAATAGCATCATGTGAATTGAAAACAAAGAACACATGTTCATTACTTTGGTTTGGTCCTAGGTCACGCGTTCAAATCTCAAAATTTTAATAATAATAGTTATTTTTCTGTTTTTGTTTAGTGAACTGCAAATTACCAAAGTATCCCCGTCTCTTTCTCCTTTCCTGCGACACTGAAACCCTGCTTCCGCCGATGTGTTTTTTTTTTCCCACGATTATTATCTATTTTGCTTGATTTTAATGCAATTTCTTCTCTAGTATGATAGATCTACATCTGAAAACTCTATTTAAATGATATAAAACAATTAAAAGTTAACTAATTTGATGTATCCGATTTTTGGGTAATATCAAATCATTTCAACATTATCTCTTGTTCGGCCAATATCATTTCAATTTTCAAATGTCTCTCGAGATGCGTTGGTGTACTGCTTTCATGAGTGTAAGATCTTTGCTTGGATCTTCCAAGAACACTTGAAAGGCTTACTGTTTTCTCAACGGTGTAATTTCAAAATCTATTTTTTAGGTTTTAATTGATTGTAGTTAAAACTATGCAGAGATTTTCGTAGGAGTTTCTGTTTTTTGTTTTCTAGATATAAGATATTCAGACTTATGTTTCTGGATTTTGAATTTGGAGAAGTTCGGTTCAGAATTGAATTTTTGGTTTGCAATTGATTGACGGCGGTTGGGCGATTGTTCCGGTTTATTTTAAGTGACTAAGGATCCGCGTCCCAAAACCAAGATATTCGGGTGGGCTATTCCCGAGTTACTGAGTCAACTCAGCCGAGTTGATATTTTTCTGACATTATTGACCTCTATTTATCTTTGTTTCCAAACATTATTTGTTCATAAAAGCAATGGCATTATTCGTAAATAGATGGGCTTTTTCGTCCTTTTTTTAAATGTACTTCTCAATTAATAATAAAGAGATATACGTCGCAGTTTTCTTGGTTAGGTAAGCGTAGAGAAAAAAAAAAACAAAACCACAATATCACGTACAAACCAAAAAAAGGATGCATGATATATGCATGCATGTCATTGTTTCATTTTTTCATCGTTTTATGTAAATTTTATCTAAGTTAAAAATTGAAAACAAAGAATAAACATACGAAATCATTAGGTTAAATCACTAATATGATATTTTTTGGTTATATAAGTTACCTTCTTCATTCTTCATTCTCCATTTTCCACTCTCCACTCTCAATTTTCGAAGGAAGCATGCAAGCTGGAGAGATCCAGAAAGAGGAAGAAATAATGGAGCAACCCAAAAAGCAAAAAGAAGAAGTGAGATGTGGAGAGATCTTAGTCTCAAGAAGACGGTCTGGTTTTAAGAAAAAGGAAACTCTAATTATAAGGTATTTGCTTATTATGGTTTGGTTTTTACGAAGAAGGAAATATTTAATCAAAAGGTATTTGGTTATTATGGTTTGAGTTTTAAAGAGAGACACTTGTAATTATATGGTACTTCATGTTCTTATAGTTTGAGTTTTAAGAAGTATGGTATGTAATTATGGTGGTGTGTAGGAACCTGAGTCTAATATCATGTTGATGAAGTCTCTTATATTTGGCTGCTTGGCTATTGTTATAAATCTTGCGTCGATCTAGAGGGTAACTTTTGTTGGAATATTAATGTTATGGGTCGATCTAGAGGGTAACATTTTAAATTAGGGTTTTAAAATTTTGTCACTCTCAGTGAATCACTTTTCGGAGACTGTGTTGACGTCTCCGGCGATGACGCCGGGAAGGAACGCTGACTAGTGACAAGGGAAAGGAACGCAAACAGGGGATTTCGACTCTTCCGCCGAATGAAGTAATTTCAACGTTAATTTGCGGCTGAAATCAGGGGAAATTTGGGTTTTCGCAAATTTTAATAATGGTCTGAAGAGGAGGAGGATCCCGATAAGTTCTAGTCCATATTTACAATACACACAACTAACAAAGTAGATTATTGCAAATTGCAAAGACAGAACTCTCTATGTCGTCATGTGTCGGGTTTGACTTTTGTTGGAAGGGAACAACTAGTTTGTTAGTTCACACTGTTATTCCCCTTCCAAAATAGTTTCTAGCAAATTATTATGGACTCAGAAACTAAAAAATATATTTTTATAAAGTTTCTTGTAATATTTCTATAAAATAATAATTATTACTTTATCGATAAAATAATAACTTTATAAGATAATAAAATTTCAAAGTCCCAACATTATTATTTTATAGAGGTTTTGATGTATGTATGTGAAAGTGTTTTGGATTAAAAGATTGCTTTCCTTTGCTTGGAGTTGAGACTTGAGAGAGTCAACATGTATTTCTTAATTTTACAACTTATCATTAATTCATTATTCACAAATCATAATTTCTAGATTGACTTTACTCAAAATTATGTAACACTTAAGGCAAACACTTATTCAACACATTTAATATTTACAGTATACAGGTTAAAATTGGTTGATGAGGTGGAAGTGGAAACCGAATTTCATGCCATATTCGTTCCGATAACATAATTTTTTTATGCCAATAAAGGTAAAAAATCTTCTTCAATGGAGTTATAAAAAAGAAAAATGGCAAAATAACTAATTAGAGTTCAAAAGTGAATTATTTTCCTACTCACTTCGGTATGTGATTACCATCGGATGGTTTTTTGTTTGTTTGTGTAATTTCACTATTTCAGTCTCTCTTTTATGCCTTTTTTTAATTTTATATATTTATGTTACTTATGGTCTACTTTACAAAAGTTAACATATGATGCAAGTCATGTTCTTTACCAGAATGATTCCGAGTTTGTGTTGGATGCTCCTTCTTTGAAGTGCTTAGAGAAAATGCCTGAGCTCGTTGCAGCAAATGTCGAGGGTCTTTATTGGAATACCGGAAATTTGCTGCATGAACTTGTAGTCTTGGAGTTTTGCACATGTGAAACAGAGTGGGATCTACTTATGTCTCTGCTCAAACCTTCTCCAAAACTACGAGCTCCCAAACTCAACGAGGTAAAACAAAACTATCAATGCTTTTGCTTTTGTTTTTTTTTTATCATTTTGGTGTAAATGTTAAAATGCTTTTGCTTTTAAGGGCTTTTGTCGATATCATCAATATGATGTTGCTCTAGAGACATGATGACCATTATATTGAGGATCGAATGCAACACTTGAATGAGCCAATCACTGTTCCTCAAACGTTGATGTTGATGTTCGGTCTTGAAACTTTGGAGTGGAGAAACTACAGAGGATTGAATACAGAGAAAGAACTTGAGGCGTTTATCTTGAAACATTCTTGTCGTTTAAAGACAGCGATATTCTCACCAGTAGATGACGCCGAGTTAGAGAAGAAATATCGAATGCTCACAGAGTTAGCACTTTCGTGTAGAGGTTCGACGACATGTCAGCTTGTGTTTGGCTGAAAGTCTATACACATCCGAGTCTGAAGCAGTTGTAAAAAAATGCTCTAAACCAGTTTTGTTGAATCTCTTAAAACCATTTGCTTTGTTTCTCTCGCTTGTCTACTTTGTTGACTTTCGCCTTTATTTCAAGGTTTGGATTCGGTAGGTGTTTACTTATCATTTAATATTTTAGAAAACATTGTTAGTTTTTCATGATATGTAAAAATGAATCTAAGTAACAAAAGTAGAACCAGTTCCATGCTTAAAGGATTTCAGTATGAAAGCCATCAAAATAAAATAAAATCCTAGATAATGCTTTAAAATCAGCTTCCTATAACTTAAACCCTATATTGGTTTTGATCTTAATTAATTTAGTTGATGTTTATTTAGTGGGTTTTGAAGTGGAATTCAATTTGGGGAAAAAGAACAGAAATTAGGGTTCTTCATAGACTATGAAATCGAAGACAATTAGACGATTCCAAACCGAAATGGAGCTTCGTTTTGTATTCTTCTGTGTGCTCATCTTCTCTCTATCTCTCTCTCTCTCTCTCTCTAAATCTCTCTCTCGATACAGAAGATGTACCAGAGTCAAAATTCAGAGTCTCTTGTGTTTGCTCTTGTAATGGTGTGTTCTAATTGTTAAATGTATGCGTTTAGTTACTCTTTTCTCTTGGTTCTTTTGTGTTTGGTTATTTGCTCTTGTAATGGTTAAATCTGCTATAATGGTGTCTTCTTCATAAGAAACACAAAAGAATCGGCAAATTGAAAATGGATTGAATCTGAAAATTACTTTAGGTTTGTAATCTCTTTATTAGTAATGGAGAAGTACATTTATAAAAAAAAAGACAAAAAAACCCATGGGTCAATGAAGGAATTCTGTTTGGATACAGGGATAGCAGAGGTTAAAAGTGTCTGAAAAAAATCAAAAAAAGCCAACTCGGCTGAGTTGACTCGGTTACTCGCGAATAACCCACCCGAATAGCTTTAAATCGCGAATAGCCCACCCGAATTGATTCGGAAAAACACGCGGATCTTTATACAACTTAAATCAAACCGGATCTTTAACCGGATCGGATCAGACATCAAACCCCCAAAATTTAATCCTCTAATTTTGAAAACCGACCCGTTTAGAAACGATTACACGCAGACCCGGTTCACACGCGAATATAAATACAAAAAAAAAGTCTCCAAATCCCATCGATTTAGGGTTTTAGTTTTTAGAACAAGGTGCCACTTTTTCTCCGACGGGGTTATCGTATGGGGTAAGCCGTTTCTTCTCTGTTTGATTCTCATCGTCTTTCAATTTCTGTTCTCTCCGTTCTCTTTGATTTTCCCAGAACGTGTTCTGCGATTGTTTCTCTGGGAGCAATCTCCGTTGTTCAGTATTTACTCGCTAGATTTCTGATTCATTGACATATTTTTGTGTCAATTTTGCCCAATGATCTCGCTACAGATATGATCCAAGCTTCTCGGTAGTGGTGGTATTGATGTTGGGCAATACAACGAAACGTGTACTCACCTCATTGTAGATAAGTTTGTGTATGTAAGTCTTATCTCTATTTTTTTCTCTCTCTCTATTATGTCTTCGCAGTTGAAAAAGATCGTACTTTGCTTTTGGGATATTATAGGATGATCCGTTATGTGTTGCTGCCCGTAGCAGTGGGAAGGTGGTTGTCAGTTGTCACTAGGTCATGGGTTGATCACAGCTTTGATGTTGGAATGTTTATAGATGAAAAATCGGTAAGTTTCTTATGATTAGTTCCAAAAAAAGAGAAGAAGAAGAAGATATTAGTAACAAGTTTTACTCAAGGGTTTATCATATTGGGTAATTTGGCATCAGCCCTCTTAGAATTTGAATGGGATTCCAGGGGCTAAAAGTTTAGTTGTGGGCTTGACTGGGTACCAACATCAAGACAGAGAGGACATTATGGTGTGTGTTTGGGGTTCTTTCAATTTTGCGGAGGAAGGAACATGTTCATAAGTGATTAAATGAATGACTCAATATTCATCTCATATCTACTGGGACCTGAACTTCGGATTGTGATTTGTGTGTTTGGTTTGCAGGTTATCGCAGAGGGTCTATCGAAAGAGGAAATCAAAGGTCTTAAAAGCATGTTTTAGACTATGGATTCCGACAGAAGCGGGTCAATCACTTATGAACAACTAAAAACCGGACTGCACAGACTTGACTCTAAGCTCTTTGAAGCTGAAGTTAAGCAACTCATGGAAGCTGTGAGTATCATAAGCCTTCTCTTTTAAACCTTCATAATGAAGCGATCTCCATTAAAGCACATAACGATGATATATATACATTTTCAGACTGGTATGGATGGAAATGGAACAATAGGCTACATAGAGTTTATTCAGCCCTGCATCGTTAGCGACTGTCACAGTGAATGAGAGTGAACCAGTGCTATATTAGGGAAGGAGCTTTGCTTTCTTTAAGGCAGACGTAGAATGAATCTTTTCCCAGGAGAGACCGAGTCACACGAAGTGCAGAGGAAGATACGAGAGATCGAAAGTTCTGGTAAACATCTGCAGAGACCACAGCTGCGGAGCCGCAAAGAACGATTGTGGATGGGTCAAGATCGGGGCCAAACATGAAAAGCAAAGACAAGTAGGAAAATGATGTAACATATAGTTTAGTGTTGATCTTATTATCTTATAGGGGTTTTTATTAAATATTTTCGTTTGTAAAGAAATGAAAAAATGCAGACACGACTGTCAGGATACTCGGCTCTCACCCGAGAGACCCGGGTTCGAGTCCCGGCAACGGAGTTTCATTTTGTGATATTTTGGCATAGACTATAGACATGGGAGGGAAAATGAATTCAAGTGCTTTATTGAATCCACATGGGGGCACAAAGCAAACATTGACCATTCGATAACCATTATAATAACTGTTCTTCTTGTTTTGGTATCAAAATGGGTCCCAAATAGAAACTTCCATATCAATTTTCTGGAAGTTTCATACCAAAACTGGAGAGTTCAAAAATCCATCATTGTATATAGTTTGTAGCTTTCTGAAACAAACACATAGGAACATACCCACTTTCATGTTGTTAAAAACGTTTTTGTGTGGTTATGGCTGGTTCCAAGTCTCTCAACAAGCCATCTTCAAAATCTCTACTTCACTTATTCTATTTCTACGCATGCCTACTTGAGGAGGTATGAAGCCATGAGTTCTCATTAGCAGACCAAATAAACGCACTAGATTAGGGAACCATCACATTTGCTAAGATTTCCTTCATGAAGTGCCAAAAGGCTCAAAACTCACATTTGCTATCCTAACTAACAGAGCAAATTAGTATAGAGTGGAGCTATTTTCACAACAGGACATACATCAAAGGAAAAGAAGGCCCTCTGTGTCATGATATACAAAATCTAAGAAGGCCCTGGAGTTACTATAATACTCTATAACAACCAAAGGCAATAAATGCAGAGGCTTATGACTTCCCTTATTGAGTCAAGAACAAGGTGTCACGTTGTTTAAACAATCTTATTCTGTAATAAAAAATAGTAGTTGTTGTATCCAATGAGAAGTTGTCTTACACTGTGACAATAACTATGGTTGAATCATCATTTGATTAATAAAACTGAGTGATTGCAATACGGGTGATATATAAAACTTAAAGAAGCTGAATTTTCTTTGGAAAGCATCAAACATTGCAAGAAATCAACACCCCAGATGTTAAGCCATCCATCAACTTCAAATGCTTGCTACTAGATGGGGCTGAGATAGTTTGCAAATCTACCTGTAATCGAAAACTTAAACATGAAGATTGCACCCAAAAAAGTTAAACATGAAGGATCTTCAATTTCCTTTGTCCCCTTTTCCGTTCTGAAACTGTAATATGAATCACAAGGAGCAATGAGTATAGCATGAATCCTTCCACAACCAAGTTCAAGATGTGCTAAACATAGGTAATGGGTATGGCTCAATCCAAAAAACACAGTCCTAAAGAAGCTCAAACACCTAACAACTAACACTAAATCTAAATGAAACTAAAGAGATTGATTATTAGCAGGAATTCAATAACTTAAACAAATCTTATCCTAGCTAACTGTGTTGTGTAGGCTAGTTATTTATGCATAATTCAACCTCAGAGAGACCAATTAATCAATCCAAAAAAAAGGCTTTGTTATTACCTTCATAGGAAGTTACATCAGAAGGAGCTTTGAAACGAGGCAAGCGGCAGCGACAGTGCTGTCAAATGGTTGATGCCTACTTAGTTCTCGCCGCAGAAACTGACATTTTATACATCTTCTTCTACAAATTCTTCTCAAGAACATTCACAAGCTTCTCATAAGAATCTCTATCCACAAGCTTCTTCTCTCGCAACATCTCCAACAATCTCTTCGCTTCACCATATCTCCGCTTCCTACAACTCTCGTCAACAAGAGTTCTATACGTAATCAAATCAACGAGCCTCCCATTCTCAATCATCTCCCACAAACACTTGACCGCATCATCAATCTCGCCGCCAAGCGCAAAAGCACTAACCAGAGAGTTATACGACTTGGCATTAGGAACAAAGCCTTTCCCTTTCATCTCATCAAGCAACTCTCTAGCATTAACGGTCCTCCCTTGTGCACACAGCCCGTGTATCAGATAATCATAAGTAAACGAGTTCGGCTCGCAACCGTAAACCACGCTCATCTGATGAAATATCCTAAGAGCATCGTTCACGTGGAGCGACAGCACGAAACCTTTAACCAAACAGTTTAGCGCAAACACGTCTGGCTCGATCCCGTTATCAACCATTTGCCTAAACAAAGACCTCACCGTCTCCATATACATGTGGCTCGTGTAGGAGTTGTTACCTCGACCTAACAAGGCCTTGAAGAGAATGTGGTAGGTTCTAATCGTCGGTCTACATTCCAAGTTCTTGCTAGTGGTCATGTGCCTGAAGATATTCACCGCGCGGATCAACTTGGAGGCTTTCGTGAAGTAGAACAAGATCGAATTGTAGAGGTTTTCGTTGCCAATGTGACCAAGTGAGAGCACCTGGTTCACGATG